TGATCAGTGTAGTAAACCATGCTGTCATCTGCCAGTGAGTACCACACATAAGTCACATCAGCAGTACATGTACCCTCATTATACCAGAGGTTAACTAAGTAGAAGTTATCTGACGGACCATCTAAGTAAAGGTCTTCACCAGTCTCCTAGCCTGTCAGAGAACACTGTAAGATCAAAAGCAGTTTTCCTCCATGTTTCTAACAAAGGAAGACAGCCAGACAGGCTTTATCTTGAGGTAGGCAGTAAATATCAGCCCTCAGTTCTGCTGCAGTGTTTCTGCTGGGGTGAGGAGAGAACGGCACTGCCCTTAGTGCCATACAGGTGTGCATCAGTCACTGTACAGTCAGCTATACAGGGGGTAGCAAGGGTTGGCATGGTCTTGTCTTTAACTTGTCATATGGTACAGCAGTCAATACACCAGGCTGGAGCTGGAAGTCTGCCCACAAAGACCATAAGACTGATACGAAAACCCTTATTTTCTTTACTTTAGAATGTTGTCTCCTAAAAAGTTGTTTAAACAAAAAGTGACTTCCAGTTCCATAACCTTATAAACATTACTCAAAACATACTCAAGTAGGGTCTCCATACACATGTTTTTACACAAAACACTGTTGTTTACAATACAGTTGATATATGTTCTGCTGAAGTAACTTTGCCACCAAACACCACCAACCCATAAAACCTTTGGGACCTTCAAGGTGACATTGACAAAGTCAAGACTCCAAGTTCAGGAACATGTTTCTTCTCAAAGAACCACGCTCAAAGGCATATGGAGCTGGAAAGGTCGTTAAAGAAATTAAAAACATACTCTTGTGATTTTGAACTCTAAGGCTGGGGTGGTGAATGTGCATGGTGATACCTTCTAGTGCATGTGAAGATTGTATGGCAGATCTCCATATGTTGTGATTGGACGTTCTGCTCAGGATCAAATGCATGTTAAGTTGTCAGAGTGCAGAGACTATGAAACAAATTAAATACACAAAATCAACTGCCAATAGCCAGGACTTATAGGTACCAAATATTGTACTGCATTCAATGATGTTACATCATTTGTATGAAAATAGTTGGCTTTTTCAAATTGATGAAGGTTTGACATCCAGGTCAACATTAACAATATAAAATAGATATAGTATTGAAGAAGAGTGATGGATGTCACTCAAAATGTGTGGACGTAACCTCTATAACATATCCAGTAGTAGAGTTTAGATTGTCTTTGAAATTGTATCACTTGGACATGCATAACACTCGCAACTTGTTACATAGATTTTGTGTAAATTTCATGGTCTATAGCTACATTACTGATCAGAAAGACATCAGACGTCAATCCATAACCCCTCAGTGTTCTGTGCTCATGACCCTCAACAGTTTTGTACTGATAGCTATGCCTTCACGACCTCTTTGAAAGAAGCCAGTACACCAATCTGACAACTAATTAACACATGTAATTAGTTACACCACTGTTTGGTCTGAATCATTATAGTCACAGGAAACTGCTAACATGTCAGTACAAGGACAGCCCTAGTCAGTGGGGTTGGGCCATGACAGTTCAGTTTGTTGGTTCATGGATGGGTAAAAAATCTTGCAGATTTTACGTACTTCTTGGAAATAAAAGCTTATGGTTGGAGAGTCCAAATTGATCATAGGGGTGCTAAGAGACAATCATATACTAGAAGGCCTGCTATTTTCATCTTCGACTTCTTGCTTCATTTTTACAGAAGACAGGTTAGATTAGAAGGTGTGAGAACCAAGGAAGTGAACTGATGTAGCCTTGCACTAAGCTGTTAGAAGCATTAAGAAATTAATTGCTTTTCCCAAGGTCTGTTTTCCTTTGAGTTCCCTTATCAGATCATTTGATAACTTTGAGTCTGGATTGTTCCTTGTTAAGCACCATTCATGCCCTTATTTGGACATTTCGACACATGTCCGACAGTGCATTTTGGGTAATCCACCAGCAGTACGGTCAGTTTATTTTCCTTGTGTAAGACTTTGAATTCCGGGCTGCAGCCTGTCACGAAAATCCTCTGCACATGGCACGATGTTCAACTGGTATAACCCCTTGGCATGATACCAACTTTGTCTTAGCTTGTTGTAGCAGATGGTTATATTACATTGAACATGCTAGCTGTCACAACTAACCTTTGCACACCTACAATGTACATGTACCTCTAAGCTACTGAGAATACAGTACTTGGTGACTAGACTCTACTAGACGAACAAAATTTGTTCAAAAAGGACAGTGCATCATCATCATCATCACGAGTTTTCATAGTTTTTAACACTCTTATCAAGTTATGTATTTACCAGAACTCAGAACACGTGTCAGACACCATTCCTGAAGGATTTACCATTTCCTGTTCTATCTTGTCAGTCTTGACGTCAATATCCACTAGTTTTTATACACAGTGCATCATCATCATCATCAACATCATGAGTTTTCAACGCTCTTATCAAGTTATGTATTTACCAGAACTGAGAACATGTGTCAGACACCATTCCTGAAGGCTTTGCCATTTCCTTGTCTGTCCCGTCAGCCTTGACGTAAATACCCACATTCCGACAGTGTTAATACCATTACTGACGATGATTACTTTAGACTTTATCACCTAAAAGGGGAGCCCAGCTACTAATCCATATCAGTGAGTCACAAGGTTTTCTCATGATGACATTGCTGTTAATGTCATTATCTGACATCAACTGATATTACGCAGATGTTCTTATGAGGGGTGTGCATTCCTTTTTCCGCGAGGCATAGCAAACCATTGTAATTCAACATTAATTGTAGAAGACAGCCCTTGATTTCTTTGTGAAGTGTAATTGGTTGCTGAAACTGAAACTGCTTTTATTCCATGTCATACATTATTTCTTATCCTAAATTCAGTGTTGAAAAATTCTTAGTGTGGTGTATTTGAACACAGATTACCAAAAATCATGATAGAGCATCCAAGATCCACAGACTAGTTTTGCCAGACACCCCATACAAAAGAACATTCCAATGATTCCAAGTCGTTCCCAGAACTTTACACAAGAGCTGCCTGAATTTACTATTAAGTCATGAGCACGCTTAATAAGTGATATAGAACCACTTCCTTGTATCTGCCTCGTTCTTATCTGTATACTTCCTGGTTAATCCATGGAAATACAGCAGGTGTGTCGTGATGCATAACAGAAGTTTGACGTCATGTGGAATTTGGGTGTGAGTACTGAACAAGGTTTTTGCGTCATCATGAGGAATAGATGTAGTTGTTACGTGTCTGGCCCAAGTCCACAAAATGAGCCATACATGTGAGTCAAAAGTTGATTGTTCCTGACTTCTGAGTCACCTGTCATGTTCTTTACACATGGGATCAGTTCATCTTGATCATCCTCAGGTTGTCATCCTCTTTAATAGCAAAAAAGCTTTTTTGGAAAGAGAAACTTTCATGTTCAAAATTTAAAGTCAGAATTTTCCACATATTTAGATGCTACCTGGAAAGAGATTTCACCTGGAAAAGTATGGTTACACCTTGATGTCCCAACACCCCTATATTGTAACAACTCAACCTATGTTCAGACAACCCTATCCCTATGTCGGAATATATAGGGGTGTCAGAACATAGGCTGTTCCAGAAAATACATTTTGACTGTAAACTCAGTGGCAGCTCCCATTGCAGTATAAATCTCTCAGTGACCACATGTAAACCTTATAAGTTGATGAAATCCCCTTCTTGTTCCCCATGACTGGACGTCCTGCAGTGTTTCTGTCAACAGATCAACCCAGTTGGAGCACTCAGGTCTTTAGCCTGGTTTTCAGGCTTTCTCAGGGCTGCATACAGCAAGGCAGATAGTGAACTCAGGTCTTTAGCCAAGTCTCCAGGCTTCCTTGGGGCTTTATGCAATACTTGTCATAAGGCAGATAGTGCACTCAGGTCTGTAGTCTGGTTTTCAGGCTTACCCGGGGCTGCATGCAACACTACAGGCAGAGAAATCGTGTAGTGTACAGGTCTTAAGCCTGGTTTCTAGGCTTTCTCAGGGCTGCATACAGCAAGGCAGATAGTGCATTCAGGTCTTTTAGCCTCGGTTTCAGACTTTCTCGGGGCTGCACGCAACACTGGCAGGTAGTGCATTCAGCTCTCGAGTCTGGTTTTCAGGCTCTCCCCAGGGCTACGCACAACAGGCAGATAGTGCACTCTCTGCCACTCAGTATGTAGCCTGGTTTTCAGGCTTCAACACTTCAGGCAGATAGTTTACTCAGGTCTCTAGTCTACTTTTCAGGCATTTCCCAGGGCTACATGTAACACTTCAAGCAGAGAGTGCACTCATGTGGTCTCCAGGTCTCTAGCCTGGTCTCCAGGCTTTACTGCAGTTGCACGCAACACGTAAAGGCAGAGTACCCAGGCAACACAGTTAAACTAGACAGTGTAAGTCAGTGTGGCCTTATGAAAAAAAAAAGGCATACCCAGTCAAGGTCAGAAATGATAGAGCACACAGAACACGTTTTGAGTTGTGAGCAGGAAGCTGGTGTTGTTCCGCCTGGGAGTTCTGCTGTAGTTGTTGTGGAAAGTTATTTTGTCCATGTTTGGCGAGGCAGGACTCACCGTTTCCTCAGGAAACCTTCTGATGCTGAACTCTGCTGGGAGGTCAGGAGAAACTAGAGGCTTTGGTAACTTTTCTACCAATGATAAACCAAGATCAAATACCGGTAAAAGATGTCACTGGATCTGAAAGAGAAGACTGGTCCATGTAAAAAAAAAGTTTGGTTATTCATACAGTCAACCCATTTATAGTGATCACTGAAGTGACTTGAAGAAATGTCACAGTAGACACTGGTGGCTACTACAGACTCCTTAATACTTGGGCCAATTAGAAAAAAAAAGTCAATTCTGTATAGCAGGTATAACCGCCCTTCGATGTAACACCAGCTTCATAGCAGCTTGGTGGATTAACTCTTCCATTTGCTGTGCTGAATCTAGATCACTTTCATTTTTCCTTTTTGTTGACTCGTGTTGTGTTGTTTCCTACAGTGGCGTACGTGAGTGGCCAGTACGAGTCCCACAGTATCGGAACATGTGACCTGGAGCCCTACATCCTCAAACTGCTCACCTGTGACAATCACTTCTTCACAGCCATGAGGAAAGACCCAGAGGGGGACTGTGGGTGAGTTCTGAAAGTTCTTGAGATTGCATGGGTGCCATCCTAGGCTCTAGCCAGCTCAAAATTTTTTTCTGTCACCAAGTTAATGATTTGACCTAGGGAGAGAGTGCTTGCAATCTAGGGGGTCCTTTAAAAATGCAATTTCCCACATTTTGAGAGGCAAATCACGGGATTGAAAGTGCCTGTTGGTGGTCATTTGGATGCATTTATGTTTTCCCCCAAGATTTTTTTTCTCAAGACAGACTGATGAAATTTTTCATGGATATACGGCAGTGTGGTTTAAACCCTCTCTTATCCATCCCTTTCTTATTCTGTCTTATCGTGTTCACAAAATTCCTTTGTTATCCAGCCTGAGGTACAAAGAGGCAGAGTTCTGTTACTGGAAGGAGATCCGAGGATGTTACGTGGATCTGTACGAGGGAGACCAGCTCAACCACGAGGTCAGCAGTATCATGACTCAGTTCCCCTCACAGGAGGCCTTCTGTGAAGGTATTTCATCTGCTTCTTCATTTCTAACTTTTACCTGAAGCTAAACCCAACTTCTCTCGATATACTACCAGCAATCTCTGCATGTTTGTTACGTCCTTATGCATAGAAAGGGAGCATATTTGATTTGAGTTCTTTCAGTTTACATGTCAGACCGGCAGAATTGTCTCCAACCATAGAGCATTGTGCATATTTTAATCAAGATGCATACTTCAATCAGGATTTACAGTAGTAGACAGTACCGGTACTGCTTGTGTAAGTCTATTGTAAGTCTCATCTATGTAGTCCACATACTTATAGTTACATGTCACCTTCAGGCAAGAACTTGCAAATAATCTTTCAAATTGAATCCCTTTAGGTACGGGTCTGGGACCGATTGACTTCAGTGAGTACCACACCAACCCGTGTGACGCCAGGTACACGGAGGAGAGTCAGGACTGTACCCGGGGACTCATCATGATGTACCAGAACAACCATGCAGACCACAGGCTATGCAGGTAAAATCACAGCTAGTTTTGCATGAAGGTTAGACATCCAGATAGAACATTTTGTATCTGTTTAGGCGGTGTACCTGTCCTTCAGCGTTAACACAACAGCTTCGCAGGTACACGGCACGGAAGCAGCTGGCTACATTACACCAACGACTTGTTACACCTAACCCTTGAACCCTTGTCAAGCTGCTCAAGCGTATGCTCAGCCCTGACCACCCACATGATTTGGTACCAGGAGCCAGGTCGGACAGCACAGGGAGGTGTTTGAGGAACTCTGGGGGAATCACGGTGCCCAAGGCACGGACAAACAGACTGTATAACTCGTTCCTCCACTGCACAATCAGACTGTACAATAGCCATATGCAGACATAGTGTTCTTTTCTTTTGTTTCATGTCCCACTCTTGTACGTAACTGTCTTGTGCGTTTCTTATACTTAATAATATGTAATTGTAAAGTCCACACAATTCAGGAGTACTATGTACCCCTGCTATGTTGACTATTCTTAATAAAATGAAAAAAAAAAATTGAAATCTAACTCTAAATATTGTTTAAAGCTATCTAGTGATAATGTCCCTGCTGTACTTGGTGACAGCGAGTTCCATTCCGCGATTGTTCTAGGAGAGAATTAATTTTTGAACACCTCAATAACTCTGGTACTTGAATGCATGGCTATTTCTTGTTCTTTTCTGGGCTGGTATTAGGTACTTAGTA